TTCTGCAAGGAATAATATATTATAAAAAGGTTAAAAACTCATTCAGTTTTATGTCTTACAGGACTTATACTAAGTTCAATATTGTATAACTGTATTAATTCAACTGTGAACCTAGAAACTTACAGCTACTTGTGAAAAAGATGTACTCTTGTTCTGGAGTGTGTTACTGAATAAGTTAAAGCTGTAATGAAATGCTTCTTCTAATCATGTAGTTACTAAAAAAAATTTTAAAAAAAGTTCCAAAGGGTGAGGCTGGAGCAATGACTCAGCAGTTAAGAGCAGCGGCTACTCTTGCAGAGGACCCAGGTTCAATTCCCAGCACCAACATGGTGGCTAACAACCATCGGTAACTCCAGTTCCAGGGTACTGAATAAGTTAAAGCTGTAATGAAATGCTTCTTCTAATCATGTAGTTACTAAAAAAAATTTTAAAAAAAGTTCCAAAGGGTGAGGCTGGAGCAATGACTCAGCAGTTAAGAGCAGCGGCTACTCTTGCAGAGGACCCAGGTTCAATTCCCAGCACCAACATGGTGGCTAACAACCATCGGTAACTCCAGTTCCAGGGGAATCCAACACCTTCTGATCTCCAAGGGCATTGTACAACATGTGCACTTACATACATACACTCATACACACAAAATAAAAATAATAAAATACTTAAAAAAAGTTTTATTAGAAAATTTATAGCAAAATAAAAAGTAGTTATTAAAAAGAAGGGTATTGTTTTGTTCGGCATATCCATTTTGTATATTTCTGTTAGATTTATTTTACTTGAAGTTGGTTGTAATAGCTTCTCTCTTTGGTTAGGTCTTTTCACTTTGGTATTTTATTTTGTTATGTGTTTCCTATTACTGATTTTTCAAATTACTCAAAACTTGGTGGCTTAAAACAAAACAAGTTGACTGTCACATACTTGTGGATGTCAGACATCTGGAATTGGTGTCACTGGCCTGCAGCCAGGCTGTGTTCCTTCCTGTTCCTGAAAGGGACCAATGGAGCCTCTTTTCCTTACCTTTTCACGTTCCAGAACCTGTTTACATTTCTTAGCTTGCTTAGTTTGTGGTCCCACCTTCCATCAGTTTAATCTCTACTTTGTGTTCTTTGTCTCTCCTCTCTCTCTCTCTCTCTCTCTCTCTCTCTCTCTCTCTCTCTCTCGTGTATAGACACACACACATATGCATGAAAGCATTTTTTTTTAGACAGAATCTCATGTATAACCCATGTTGGCCTGAAACTCTTCATCCTCCTGCTTTAGCCTTCCAACCTGGATTTCAAGTATATGCACAATTCCCTGCTTTCTTCTTCCTTACTTTTCTCCCTCCTTCCATCCTTTCTTTTTTTTGTGTGTGGTATATATATGTACACATATTTCTGTGTGTGTGCACATGTGTGTGCGTGCATGTGGTGACCAGATGGGTTGGCTTGAGTGTCTTCCTCAGTCACTCTCCATCTTATTTTTTTGAGACAAAGTCTCTCACTGAAAATGGAGCCCCCTGATGGAGCCACCTAGAATGGTTGATTAGTGAGCTCTTGGGATCCGTCTGTCTCCTCATCACATATCCCCAGCACTAGAGTTACATACATGCACCCTGTGTCTGACTTTAATATGAGTGTTGAGGAGCCACACTCAGGTCCTCATGTTTGAATAGCAAACACTTTCCTAACTGAGCCACGCCCCCCAAGATTAATGCCACCACCTTTATCCCTGAGCGTCTTAGCTCTCATAAAGATTCTTGGTATTTTACTGAGCCTACCAGATAATCCAGGGTAATCTTTCTATCCTAATCACCTCTTCCAAGTCTTGCTGCTGTGTTTGGTAACAGAGCCATCAGGTCCAGGGACTGGGATCTGGACATTTTAGGGCATCATTATCCAGACTGCTGCACTTCTTGTTGTTGTGTTTCTTGTGTCTGGGTACACTTTGCGAGCTCCTGTTATATTGTTTTGTTTTTCGTTGTCTTCAGACAGTTTCATATTTGTTTGATTCTCTGAGACTTACTGGCATTTGTGTTCCTTTACCCTTTCTTTTGGCATTTTGTACCTCATTGTTTTCTTGTTTCTTTTCCTACATGATCTGGAATGTCCTGACTAATGTCAAGTAATAGCCTTGAGACCAGGCATCTTTGTATTGTTCTTAATTTTACAAGAAATTGCTTAATTGTTTTTACTACCATGCATGGTGAATTCTAATAAAAATGATTAAGAAAAAGAGTTCCTATGAAGTTGAGTCCTTGTTAACTAGGTTTTTAAGTCAGGAATGTATTTAAATGTAGCAGTCATGAATATAAGAGGAAACATATGGTCTCTCTCTTTTATCCTGTTAATAATTTTTCCAATAATGAACTGTGTATTCTGGGGATAAATCTTCCTTGGTCACAGTGTGTTGTTCTTTGAATGGACTACTTACTTCTATTTGCTGATATTTGCTTTCATGATTTTGAATGGGTATTAGTGAGTATGAGTATGGCATAGAATGTTTGATGATTGGTTTTACTATCCCCTGTACAGCTTGAGCAATGATGATTATCTAGTTACATTGAGTGAACTGGAAAGTGTTCTACTTTTAGTGTGATATAGAACTCTTGAAATAGTATTGTTTATAGCAGTGTTAATGACTGGGGCTATATCAGTAGTAGAATGCTTGTGGGCATGTGTGAGGCCCAGAACCACAAAAGCAAAACAAATAATAGCATTATTGATAACCTTAAATATTATTTGTATTTGAATTATCCAGGAACATAATAAGTCTGTCTCTTAGATCACTAATCCTGACCTGTACAACCATCTTTTCTACCCAGCAGTGGGGTTGCATTACCCAGAGACCATCTGTATTTTCTTACCTGCTCTGTCTTGCAGCATCTGAAGTAAGGTTGTAACCTGTGGAGCAGGTTTTCTCTGTGTACACATGATCAGTCCACACAGAAGGGTCACCTCTGCCAACTCAGCTTCATTCGTAGAAACCTGTCAGGCCAGAGGTTTGCTCAATACAGCCTGCCTCCCATAGGACTTTCAGGGGCTTTGGGAGTTGTCTTTACTGATCTTCACACAATGCCTATGAAAATTCCTACAAGTCTGTCATACTATGTCTAGTCTAGGGACCAGGACCACTGTTAAAGGAAGTCACCTCTGATATCAGAGTTTTGTGTAAGAATTTGTTGTTTTAAAAGATCTGCTACAGGCCATGTGTGGTGGCATGTGCCTTTAATCTCAGCACTTGGGAGGCAGAGGCAGGCGGATCTGTGAGTTTGAGGCCAGCCTGGTTTATATAGGAGGTTCCAGGGAGAACTTGTCTCAAAAAGGACCCCCCCCAAAAAAAAACTTGATAGATGTGCCTCTAAAAGTATATGCAATCTATACTAGCTATTAGATTGATTACCATGAAACTGAGAAGGGTTCAAGAAATGCTTCGTTCACTGTACATGATGTGAGATGCAAGCCAGGGGAACCTCCACTTTCATCTTGAAAAGTCCTGCTCTTGAGATAGCATTTTCAGTTCCTCAAGGAGCAATTCTTCCATTGAGATGTAACTTTCAGTTCAGAATTTCAAACCAATGCCTACTTGTCTAGACGATTTCCAAAGCCCAGGACAATGAATTGTTATTTAAACTTAGTAAACCAAGGGTAATTTTGTGCATTTTGTACATCTTAATCATATTTAGACCCCTACCTGTACTCACTCCATAGCTCCCCAGCAGATTTTGTGCATTCTGTCATGTATATTAAGGCCTAGTGAGTTAAATTTGTGTCCCCAAATGCCCCTTGGTATGAGTTCATCCACTGGAGCCTGGTCAGTCTATCTAGAGTCCCTTCCTTAATGAAGACCAGCTCTCTCTCACCCACCAGTGATCAGCTGCCAATAGTTCCTTGGCTAAGATTGGGGCTTCTTGCCCATTTCCCCAGTTCTATGCTGGGTTTTTGTCTGGTTTCAGTTTGTATGAGTCTTGCCCAAGCTGTCACCATTGCTGTAAGTTCATATGAACAAGTTCCCAGAAGCCTGGAAGACTCTTGTTTCCTGTGGTCATGCACCACCCTTGGCTCTTACAATCTTTCTGGCTCCTCTTCTGCAGTGGTCTGAATCCTGGGTGGGTGAGGTTTAATATAAGAGTCCTATGTGGGGACATGTACTCTGCAGTCATTATTCTCTACACTTTAGCCAGTTATGACCTGCTGTGTTAATTGCCCTCTGTTGCATGGGAAAGCTTCACTGGTGAGAGTTGAGAGATGCATTAGTATTCTCTCTACCCCCTGTCACACTGTGTTCTGTGAGCCTTAGATGTAGAAGTTTCATTGTAGATGTGTCACTTAGGACTGGGCATCTCACAGGCACTTATTCTCTATGTGTGACCAGTTGTGGAACTCTGTAATATTCTTTTTCAAAATGAAGCTTCTTTGATGAGTGATGATAGGTATGCTTGTCTATAAATACAAGAATCCATATTTAGCATACAGTAAAAAATTTTGTTTGTCTATGGATATGACAGATGTAGAATTTTCTCTAGGATCTGTGACCTCTCCAGTCATGATCTATTTACAGTACCACACGAGTTTCCTCGCATTGAGCAGGCTTTAAGTACAATTAGATAACTGTGGATTCCCCCCAAGATAAAAGTGTCACTGCTGTACCACTATAGTTTGTTGTGCTGGTCATTGTTATGGTTTAAAGCTTTAAAGCTGGGTTTGGACCATTGATTGGTTTTTCTCCCTTAGCAGCTTGCATAATATCCTCCAAAACTATGACAGCTAGTCTTCAGGCAGGAACTAACCTTAATTTTCAAGAGGAATCCTTCAATTTGATATCGTTGGATCTTAAGTCATCATCAGGAAGCATTTACTTGAAAATGAAAATAGCATTTCTTGGAGACTGTTGCCACTAGCCAACATGAGTCCAAATACCACTGAAGCCTTTCCATGCACCCACTTATCCCAGGAAAACTGTTCAGTGAGAAGGTAGTGTGTTCTGCATAGGATGTAAATTATTTTCTCATTCTTTCCCTTCTGCAGAAAAACAGACTATTAGTAACACTTCCATATTTAATGAAACCTGCTTGAGATGGAGAAATTTGAAGACACCTGGTATAGAAGAGATGTATTTAGTAAGTTACTGAAAGTTATTTTACTTATAGATATGTGTCTTGTGGGGGAGGTTAAAATATCTACAAAACTAAAAACTACTTCCATAGCTACCATTGTCAGCAGATGTATTGTGATGATTAAGCAGCCACTTTTGCTTGTCTCAAGACAGACTCCTTGGGACTGATAAGAAAGCCCGAGAGTTTCTCGAATCATGTATCCCAGTGCCATCAGTGCTCAGACAGCACTCGTGGTAGGAATGCAGTTATCTCTGGTCACACTGGTGTCTCCAGAGATCCCAGGGTCTATATGTGTTGCCTGGAGACTCAAAGGGAAACTTCGAAGCTAGATGTGCTTGTAAGAATGAGAATGGGCATGAAATGAAGGGTGATCATGGGAGGAAAAGGGTGATGCTTGCCTCAGTTGCTGATGTCATGAGAAAAGTGAGGGTCACCAAAAAGAGTGCCCTAATCAGGTCCTGCTTCGTTAAGATTCCTCATTTTCTTTCTAGGAAAATGTCTTTTGGCCTTACTCCTGTAGATTTGCCAGTGGGCTTCCTCACTGTATACGTGATGGCAAAGAGCAAGTTGTCAGTAGGGAGGTAGTCTTTTGTACTTTTATTTCTTTTAGACAGAGTTTCACTACATAGCCTAGGCTGGCCCCCGGCTCTCTATGACATTAAAGATTCAGGCCTCCTCAGGGCTGGAATTAAAGACATGAGCCATAAGGCTCAGTTTGTGCACTTCTATTCTATAACACATGTATTAACCTTATAGTATTGTCATCACAACATGTACAAATGTATCGTGGTGAAACTTTCCTTTAGCTTATTGTTGCATTTACTTCTTGAAAAGATGTTATAGGAGAGAGACAAAGGGAAAGAAGAATAAAACCCCAGGAAAAAGAGTAGGTCTGGAGGCCTTTCAAGAGCCTTTCAAGTCAGTGATTCACCCTATGAGCTCTTTTTATGTTTCAGTTCCACGTTTGGGGCCAGAGATGGTATCAGAAGGAATTTGCCCAGGAAATGATCTTTAATACCAGCAGCAGCAGCCAGGCCCCTGAGGTGTGCCTGGACCTGCATCCAGGTACCAAGTACAAAATCAGCCTTCAGGCTTTATCTTCAGTACTTCCTGTGGTCATCTCCCTGACAACCCAAATAACAGGTAAATCTTGAATAACAGCATTTGGATTAATGGAGTTACCACAGAGCTGTTGATAGGCCCAGATAAAGAACACTGTTGCTTTCTGTCGTGATACAGTAAAGTACAATAAGGAGAGAAGGGAGGAAGGGCGTGGATTCTGAAAGAGGTACAAGGGGCTGGCAGCTGTGCCTGCAATATTTCATTGCTTAAAAAGATCTGAAACAAAATGTTAATGTCTGTCACATCTGGATAGTATATATGTGAGTGTGAGTTAAATTCCTTCTGGACATTTGATGCATTTAAAACATTTCAACCAGGCATGGCACTTCATGCGTATAATCCTACCACTAGAAGTTGGAAACAGGAGGATCAAGAATTCAGTGTCATCACCAAGTTACATAGTTGGAGGCCAGCCTGGAATACATGAACCTTTGTCTCAAAATCCAAATCCCAAACCAAACTAAACGACAACAACAAAAATAAGTCTCTAAAACATTTAATAACTAAAAAAGATTTGTTACTCTTTCACAGTAACACATTAAACGGGCATTCTGGGCTGGGGAGATGGCTGAGTGGGTAAATTGTTGCATAAGCATAGGCCCATGTTCTGATCCCTAGCACTCATGTTAAAAAGCCAGGCATGGTGCACACATCTGTAATCCCAGCATTGAGGGACAGAGACATGTTGGTCTCAGGGCTTGCTGGTCAGCTAGCTAGCCAGCGAGAGACCTGGTCTCAAAAAATAAGGTGGGACGGGTAAGCCAGTTAAGCTAGTAAAGGCATTTGCCATTAAGCCTGATGACCTGAATTTGATGAACCCACATGATGGAAGGAAAGAGCTGATGCCCAAAAGTTGTTCTTTGACCTCTACCACATGCATGCCATGCCATGCATATGCCTGCACACACGTGCACACAAATGTAATGAAAAGTTAATGGGGCCAGAGAGATGCTCTTGCAGAGGAACCAGATTTTGTTCCCAGCACCTATATGGCACCTTACAACCATCTGTAACTCCAGTTCCAGTAATCTGATGTTCCCTTCTGACCTCCATGAGTACCAGATACACACATGGTGTCCATAATACTACAGGGAATACACTCAAACATAAAATAAAAATAAATCTTTTTTCAAAAAGTCAAACAAAGGGTGAGAATTGATAGAGGAAGACACCAAACCTCTGCCTCCACATGCACACACACTGGCTATGGCACCAGCATGCACATGTGTACACACACTCATACATCACACACACACACACACACACACACACACACACACACACACACACACACACACACCACACACTAAAGGAATGTATAAATAAACTGGCTTTCTGATGCACCTGCCTGAAGTGTAACTCTGCATTCTGATCATTTTCTCTACTTTCATCACATTTTGAATCCCTGATCTTCCCACCCACTTGTCTCCCTGAGAAGTTAGAAGTGACAAGGTGTCTGGAGGACTCGCATCTCCAAATCTTCCATTCCTACCTGCATCCTGTACCTTCCTGCCTTCCCTTGTGTCCCCACCTCTATCTAAAGCTTGCATCCCCTCAAGTGTGCATGGGATCCCATCCCTTCTTCCTAACTGAGCACGCCCCGCTGCCCCAGGATAGAATTCTTCCCAGCGCTGCCGAGTACATTGCAGCATCTTGCTCAGCATCTTGCCCATGTTCCCTTTTAGCTGCTTTGCCTTCTCTCAGCCTCTCTTTGTATCCAGACTCCTTGAAGGAAACGTCTGCCTATAGGTTCCATGTCCTTGCTTCACGGTCTCCTTCACTTTCCCTTTGTCTTACTGCTTTATGGACGGGGTCTCCATCTAACCTCCACTGTCAAGCCCAAGGTTCAATTTTGTTCTCACTGGATTTTCTCTGCGGCATTCAACAGTCCTGGAAATATCTTTCCCCTTCGTGTTGGTTCCTTTTGTCTTCCTGGTTACACCTTCTCAGTCTTTTTGAGAGGTTCATCTACCTTTACTGCTCCTTCCTCAGACTCCCTCTCTTTTCTTTCATCGTCTATTCTTTTTTTCCTAGGCGATATCTACAAGTCTCATGGCTCTAACTATTACCTATATACTGATATATTGAGAACTTCCAAAGCTATATTTCTAGACCCAATCTTTTCTTTGGATTCTAAACTTTATCCACCCATCTTCTAAACAATACCCAATTAATTGGTCAGGTTGAGTCCTAATTGAGTCTCTCTGACTCCTAAATTTCTAATAAGTTAATGCACTCTATTGGTTTGCTGTATATATGAATTTAATAATTCAGCCCCACTTTTACCTTTGCCCCTACTAACCCAATCGAGCAGGAACTGTTTGCTTGGATTTCTGCGTAGGCTTCTGGTTTTTATTTTTGATGTTGTTGTTTGATTTTGGTTGTTATTTTCATGATAGAGTTTTGTTATGTAGCTCCCAGGTTAGCTTCATACTTTCTGTGTAGCCCAGGCTGGCTTCAAACTCATGATTCTCTTGCCTCAGCTTTCCAAGTGGATTATAGGCATGTACTACCATGCCTGGGTAGCAGTCACTGTTTTCCTGGTTTCATTCTTGCCTGTTATTCTCTACCACAAACTTTGGTCTCAGTCTTCACCATCATTTTAAAAGGAGCACTCAGCAGCTAGAATGTCTTTTTAAAAAACAAGTACAAGAAGATGACAGTGCCAGCTCAAGGGTCTCCAGTGAGTTTCATTAGTTAGAATAGAATCCGAGTTCCTCATCATAGAGCATGTACTCCAGCCCTGACCACCTTCAATTCATCGCCCCCCACCGCCTCCTTTCTCACCAGGGACCAGCTGTCTCCCTTCCTTGCCTTCTTGCTTTTCCTTAAATGGGCCAGACTTGTCCTGTACCCAGGCCTTTCCATTTGCTATGAACTCTTTCTGGGAGGATCTCTCTCTATGGTCTTTATGATCATTCAAGTATATGCTTGAATGTTACCACCTTGTTTTAATCTACTTTCTGTTGTTAAATTGACCAGGGAAGGGCTAGGGCGATGGCTCATAGTTTAGAATGCATACTGCTCTTCCAGAGGACGTGAGTTCAGTTCCCAGCACCCATGTTGGGTAGTTCACAGCCTGGAACTCCGGGACTGCACTCACATGCACAACGCTCCCTGCCCACATAAAAATATACACACTTAAAAAAATAATAAAATAAACTATTAAAACCAACCATGTGTTGGGTAATTTACAAAGAGTGGAGTTTCATTCAATTCATGGTTTTGGATGTTGGGAAGTCCATGAACATGAGGCTGGCATCTGCTGCTCAGAGCTGGTGAGGGTTTTCCTGCTGGCCATGACATGACAGAAGGCATCATATGGTGAGGCGGAGCAAGTGTGACCAGACAGCTGTTTTTTATTCAAACCAACTCCCTTGATAACCCATGACTCCATCAATGAATTAATCCATCATAAGAACAGAGCCCTCATGACTCCATCACCTCCTAAAGGTCCTGCCTCTTAAATACCAATAATGCATGACTTTGGGATTAGCTTTCCAGCATGTGAAATTTGGGGGACATATTTAAAGTATAGTCCCCTTAGAGAGGCTTCCCCTGACCAATCTTTCAAAAATACCATCCTCAGTTTCCCACCCAATTACTTTCCACTCACCCTGCTTGAATTTCTTCATAGAACTTGCTTTTTATATTTAAAAATTTTCTCCCTTTCTAAAACAGGAGCTCTTGGAAGGCAATTGCTTTTGTCTATATTGAATTTGTCTATTTTTTTCTAGTTTTGTCTATTTTTTTCTATATCGAATTCTCAATGTATGATAATGACAGAACAATAAATAAATATTCCTGCAGTAATAGCCAACTGGTGTATTGATGCTGAGGATGTGCCTGATTAGTCAATAAAGATTTTATACCAAAGGCACTCCACATATTTTCTGCAAAAGACAAGTGTTCTTGGCTTTTCCTTCTTGTGGTGACTTATTAAGATGAATGG